TACTACTACTACTACTACTACTACTACTCCTACTACTACTACTACTACTACTACTACTACTACGACTACTTTTATTAATACTACTAATAATGCCAAAACTAGTAACACCAACAATACTGCTACTACTAATAATAAGATGACGAATACGAATGATACCAAGGCGTATAAGAAGAACACGCACCATAACAGCACGATGCATAACACGAAGACTAATATGAACAATACTAACAATAATACTAAGCTTACGGGTGATAACAATACGAATAAGAATACTACGAATATGAGATTCATAATCTTACTACTACTACTGCTACTACTACTACTACTACTAATACTAATCGAAGTAATACTACTACTACCACTACTACTACTACTACTACTACTACTACTACGACTACTACTACTCATAATAATAATAGTAGTAATAATAGTAATACTATGATAATTATTACTAATAATACGAATGATAATAATATTAATAATGTTCATATTAATAAATTCATAATACTACTAACAATAAGACTACGAATAATAATACCAATGCGAATAATAATACTAAGAATAATAAAAGGAGAAGGAGGAGGAACACGAGGAAGAGGAGAAGGAGGCGGAGGAGGAATATGGAGAGGAGGAGGAGGAGGAGAAGCACGAGGAGGTGGAGGAGAAGGAGGAGGAAGAGGAAGAGGAAGAGGAAGAGGAAGAGGAAGAGGAAGAGGAGGAGGAGGAGGAGGAAGAGAATCTCAGAAGGAGGAGGAGGAAGAGGAGGAGGAGGAGGAGGAGGAGGAGGAGTAGGAGGAGGAGTAGTTGGAGGAGGAGGAGGACACGGACAAGGAGGAGGAGGAGGAGGAGGCGGAGGAGGAGAAGGAGGGGGGGCGACACGTGCAGAGACGCTGGGAGAGGGCGGAGGAGATCAGTAGCGTTTTGCCGATCTCCATCCCCGTCCCGATCTCCATCATCCCACCACCTTAGTTTGGGATACGGTCGGACCGTGGTATCAGATCGAGATCGGTTCGGGGAGCGTACCCTACAATGCTTTTCGTGTTTCTTGGATGTTTTTGTGCATCCTGGGAAAGGGTACCCTCGAGTGATCTTACGGTTTGGGGTGTTTTTGCCGGCGGAGGGTCTCCTGTTCTTAAGGATGTTCTTGTGTCCTAGGTCCGACCACAGATCCCTCGAAACCCGAAGGGAACAGCCTGTATCCCCATCTAGGGGGGGCGAGTCAGCCGGTGGGGCCCAGGCCACGCTGGTGGGGATTGGGATCGGTTCAGCGATGCCCAGGAGAGGTTCCCTGGAAGACTTGCAGAACAGTGCCAGGCAGCACCGTGCACTCTACAGCGCCTCGACGTGCCGAGGGGCCCACGACGCTGGCAGATACACCAAATCTTTGGAGTCGATCTCGGGCCCTCCGAGTACGGTTTCGGATGGTCCTGACGACGACTGGCATCGTGTTAGAGGCCCTGCAGGGGCGTCCTCGGGAAGGGGTGCAGGGCCTCAGGGCCTCAGGCACTGCAGGGACTTTTGTCGTAGCGTAAGTATGGGGGCGGTTGGGCCTTTCCAGAAGGGAGCCGTGGCTCCACCTTGCGGCACCCGCGCGGTGCATGATGCAGGCCGTTGTCCACAGTCCGCTTGTGCAGGATAGGAGGAGGGGGGGTACAGTCGGGGCACTGAGGAAGAAACCCTTTTCGTTGGGGAAGGGCTCAGTGCGCTTTAGGTGTGTTCAGTTCGCCAGAGGTTGTTCTTGGTTTTCGATGGGAATTTGAAGTTTAACGTATGAAAACAAAAGACCTCGTTCCTTCTGAAAGGTTCCTTAGGTCAACGCCCCGACTGTATAGCAGTTCAACACATGATGCGCTCTGCAGGTTTTTTTCCTGGTGCCGAGGGGCCTCGGGCAAGAGGCTGCCAAAGGGCGCACGAGGATGCTGACTAAATGGAGGCCTCAAGGCAGGTCGGAGATGAGCTTATGAGGGTCCTGGGCCCTGTTTGCGAGATGTGTGTGCGTCTGTGTGTGTGTGTGTGTTGCCATGCCGCCTTGCCTCCCGTCCTCTTCGGCCGCCCGCTCTATCCCGTTTCCCCTCTCTTGCATGCTGACCAATTCGCTACAACGGTGCCCCCGTTTAGTTAGATCCATCCGCCAGCGCAGGCGACCCTTGCCTAACCGCCGACGCAAAACGTGTGCTGCCATGCGTATGTTTATCGATGATTGCGCTGGTGCTTGAAATCAGTGTGGATGGGGGACGGGAGACAGCGCGGGAGCCAAACTATCATTGGGTCCTTTTGCCGTCTGGAGGGTGGATTTTTCGGGGTTGGTGGGGCCTGAAGTCTGCGCGCGGCTTCGAAATGTGGACCCCCCCCGATCGTAGCGACGCGCACGCCTTTCTTACAAGCCCCCTGTGTAGGATCCTCGCCGTCGGACGCAGATAATCATACACCGACCAGCATTGGCCTGGCCAACCTCGGTGTCGGTGTATGGTTGCCGTCGTTCTGCGTTCGGACCATATCACTTGGGCCTACTCGCCTCAACGCCGCTCCACGCGGCGGCAGCTGGGAGGACCACAGCATCCTCCTCGATCCTCAAGAGCCTGCGCTCGTGGCGCCCAAGATGGAGTTCTCCAAGCTCGAGAACGGCCTGAAGATTGCATCCGTCGACAAGCAGGCGCGCGGACAAGCCCCGCAGCCACCGCACGCTGTGGGCTGGCCTCAGTTCTGCCGTGCAGCAAAGCCGCGAGCGACCCCGATCTCTGGGCGAGGGCTAGGTCGAGGTGCCTCACAAGCACGGCCTGAGGACTGTCCGCCTGCACACGCGGGTGCACGATTAGCCTGCGAACCAGCCCTGCCGATGCGACCCCCACGGGCTGCCAATGATTCTGCTGCTCGCCGAAGCCGTGCGAGGTCCTCCTATCAGGCAGAGCCGTGTGGCCCGCGTGCTTTCACGAGAAGATCTGCCCAAGACGCCCGATGCAAGCCGAATGGTACGTCGATAGCACCAGCAAAGCGCAGCAGCATCGAAATCCCCGGCAGGCAAGTCCTGTACGACAGCACCTCGTGCACCGCAAGCAGTCAAAGAGGGCGAGAAAGGGGAATGGGCAGTGAACGCAAGGACCCTATGGGTGGGATCCTGCAGGGTCCAGTTCGATCCGATCGATCCGACTCGGTACAGTCGGGGCGCTGAAGAAGGAACCCTTTTCGTTGGGGAGGGGCTCGATGTTCCTTAATTGTTTCACACTTTGCCTAAGGTTTCCCTTCAGTTTTCGATGAAAAATGGGGCCTCGTTCCTTATTTAGGGTTCCTTAGGTCAACGCCTCGACTGTATCGATTCTGGCCAGCCCGATCCGCTTCGATCCCGATCTTCCGACGATCCGGTTGCTTCCCGATGGGTGCGTGCTGTGCACCCCGGCGCAGCCGATCTGATTCGATGCTGTGCCGATGCGGGCCGATCCGGTGCACAGTGAGGGGGAGGAGGAGGAGGAGGAGGAGGAGGAGGAGGAGGAGGAGGAGGAGGAGGAGGAGGAGGAGGACAAGGACAAGGACAAGGACAAGGAGGAGGAGGAGGAGGAGGAGGAGGAGGAGGAGGAGGAGGAGGAGGGGGAGGAGGAGGCGAATTGCCGATTCGATGCTGACTGATCCTGCCCTGTGGGCAGCCCTGGCCACGCCCCGGCACCCATCATGGCCAGAGGCGCCCCATGGGCAGCCACTCAAAGAAGAAAAGATACCACTAACATAAGCTTTCGGCGCCGTGGGGCCCCCCGCGGCGGCGCCTCCGGCGCCGCCCCTGGCGCGCTCCGCGCGCCAGGGAGGGGGGGTCTTGCGCGGATCCAGGGAATCGCACGGAGCGCCAACCGTTGATGTCTGCGCGTTTTTCCTTCCCGTAGCCACGCCCTCCCCGCCACCGCCCGGGAGGGGGGTCCAGCGCGGATCCAAGGAGTCCGCGCGGAGCGCCACAAGTTCATGGTTACAGTCGGGGCCCTGAAGAAGGAACCCTTTCGTTGGGGAGGGGCTCCATGTTCCTTGATTGCTTCACAGTTTGCCTTGGGTTGTCCTTTGGTTTTCGATGGGAAATCGAAGTTCAACTTGTGGATTGAAGGGGCCTCGTTCCTTATTTAGGGTTCCTTAGGTCAACGCCTCGACCCTATGCCGCTTTTCTGCCTCCACCCACGGGCAGCCAGGCCCCCCCACCCCCAACCGAGGCGAGCGGAGGGGCCGGACCGCGGCACCCGGGGCGGCCGAAGGGCGGGACGTCGTGATCGGGGCGCCCCACGGGAGTGATCTGAGGCGTGGGCTCGGGGGTGGACAGACCTCCTACCCTGGCACGTCGATTCAGGAATTGGCCGTTTTCGGTTCGCGAGAGGGCGTCGCGGCCGTCATGTTTGCGGGTCCAGGTCCGTCAATTTCGGTCCCAGGCCGTCTTCACTAAGGGGAGGTCTACTAAAGGGAGGTTTGTCCACCGCCGATGGGCGAGGTCCCGTGGACGGGACCTGGCACAGGCGGGCCGAGGCAGGAGGTCGAGGTCGGCTCGGGGAGGGCGGGGTCTCCTGGGGGAGCTCCTGTGGGGGAGCTCCTGTGGGCGAGGTCCCGTGGGCGAGGTCCTGTGGGGAGGGGGGGAGGTCCTGCGGGCGAGGTCCTGTGATCGGGGCGCCACGGGCGTGGTCTGGTGGCTTGGCATCGCTCGGACGTGTGCATTTTTCTTTCGGCGAGGATCATCGAGGAGCATCCTTGATTATTTGGCGAAAAAAGCACGCACGAAACCGAACAAAAACACAGGGAATGGACGTCCGAGCGATGGCCAGGTGGGCGAGGTCCTGAGGACGGGACCCGGTGCAGCCGGACCGAGGCATGGGGTCGAGGTCGGCTCGGGGGAGGGTGCCCTGATGTTCTTGGTGCTTGTTGGACGTTCTTGTGTATCCCAGGGAGGGCGCCCTTGGATGCTCTGTGTGTGTCGTGGCCGGCGGAGGGTCCCATGCTCTCGAAGGAGGCTCTTCTGCCTCAGGCCCGACCGGGCAGCA